TGAGGGTTAGGAGTAAGAAAACAGCTGAAAAATGAAACAAATCTGACCATCATAGAGAAGTTCAACCCAGCGTTGAACCCAGTTGCTGTTTTTGACCCTGCACCACGACCAGGCTCCTAACCAGTCACCACTCTGTTCAACTGAGCCTTTGTAACTCAGCAGCGTTCAGACCGACTGTCACTTATATCTGCTGTCATTATTTGCTGTCTGGACAGTGTACACCCGTCCAAAGATACAGTAAATACAGTGGTCCCTCGTCTATCGCGGGGGTTATGTTCCAAGGCGATAGGCGGAAAACCACGAAGTAGAGACGCGATAGTTATATTATTTATGTATATATTAACTTTACGGACCATTTAGGAGGAATCTTAGGGCGTGAAATATGGCACAAAAAAACTTAACGAACGTAGCAGTTATTTCTTGCAAACCCCTGTATGTATGTGTTGCAAAATGTCTTTTTATTTCTTTTTTTTTACTATTTTTTTTCTTCTTAGGCTAGAAAAATGCTTATATCACGAAAATAATTATAATATTGGAAATGTCGTTATACCGCAAAACCCCGTGATAGAGAGAAAACCCTCAATACAAGAATACATTTAAAATTTAAAAAAACGGCGATGAACTGAGAGCACGACAGCCGAACCGCAATACAGTGAGGGATGACTGTTTTGAACTTGCCGTAAAGAGGCGAAAGGTGGGATCACGTGCAAGATAAACAGCAGGGGGTGCTAGAGTCAACTTTCATGTTCATTGACAACAACAACTGGAACAAAAGGCATATTTGAGTGAAGCACACGACGTACGTCTGTATGTATCTTCCAGAGGTTCAGCCTCAAACGAACTCAAACACTTTGTCAAAATATCTGCTGCTGTTTTTATAACATTGGAATAGAGTGGAGACTTTGTCCTTATTCTGTTCCATGAATCAGATTCTTTCATGTTGCGTAGCATATGTAATAATATTCAGAGCACTTAATGCTGCCCAGAGTTCTGCTTAAAACAAAACCTTCACCCACAAATAGGACGTCTTAGTCTCACTGTGACCAAAATTACAATTCCGTTCCGTGCCCACAGCATAACAAAACAACGTAGCTCGCCTTATCCTTTAACCATACAATGAGATGATGCTTCTACCAACGCAGGGGTCACACAGTCTGTTCCATGTGTTGAGCTATGTGTTTGTTTATCACTTTATTATTTATTGTTGCATCAATGAAAAATCGATCTTTATTTCAGTTTCTGTTACTGCCGTATGTCCCTGGTTATTTTTGTATGATCTTTCTGTCTGTGTAAGTGATGGATAATGAATTATGACCCTTAACTGCATGATGGAGAAAAAAAAGTCACACTACATGAAAGAATGACGGTGTAAAAACCTATGGTACGCACAAAGATGTGAGACTTTGATAAAATGAGATCATTTACATCAGACCAGATCTTGAATTTCTTGAAACACCTTGTGGTTTTGGTGTGTGTTCTGTTTGTCTTTTCATTGTAGTGTGAGTCAGCAGCACTGGGACGCTCCTTCATTGTCCCCTAAGTAGTCAAACAGAGACGCCTCACCCCTTCCTCTGAGCAGCCGTGGTGTTTGAACTATCAGCATGCTGCTGTGCAACTCTGCCCCAGACACAAGCCTCCGCTTTGATTCTCTGCCAAATGAAAGGCTTCATCCACCACCGCCGCCGCCGCGTTCCTTTTCTTACTTTGTTACATCAGGAAATAGATGAAGTTAACTTTACTCCCAAACTCGGCGGGTGTTGTGTGAATTTTTATCTTCCTGTCAGGACGATGAAAGGATGACTCCAGGTCCATCTCGCTTCCTCTCAGTTCTATGTGGAGGGCGGAAATTGACATTGCAGTGCAGTACGCTGTCTCTACAGCCATTAGAGGGCATTAAAGGAGTTAAATAATGAATGATCTCTATATGATGAGCATCCGGATACAAACATTTCCAGGTATAAACTAAAAGTAGACGTCGATCGTTGCAGCTAATACTCTGGTATATGTATTGTGGCTTTTATCATTCCCTCATCTGTCAAAGCGCATGACTGAGAGTCTATATCAAAGGCTGTGTGTGTGTCCGTGCACACGTGTGTGTGTGTGTGTTTTCTATAATGCACCAAGGTTGATATTTAAACTCAAGGTCACGTCTTCATTACATCGGGCGGCACTTCCTGCTCCGGTCAGCGGCTCTGATGGGTTATGTGAGAAACAAATGACCCAGCTGTGTGGCTGTCACAAGGGCAAGCAGAAAGGTGAACGTCCCTCTCAAAAACCAATTTGGGGTCAGCTTAAGAGTACATATATATGGCTCTGAAGAATGATGGGGGCCCCCAGCCCTGACCAAAGTCGATATGAATCACTCCTGGAGCCAGCAGCTCTGTTAAACGCAGCAATAAGTCTGCATTGTTTAACTCAAGACCTCTCTGCTGCTGCTGCTGCTGCTGATGATGATGATGCTGCTGCTGATGATGCTGCTGTTGCTGCTGCTGCTGCTGCTGCTAATGATGCTGCTGCTGATGCTGCTGCTAAACGCCAACTCCAGTCTCGACGGGAGCACTACAGCTCATAATGAGCGTTTTTTTTAAGGCTATAATGAGGCCTAAAAAAATGCAACACCAATGATTCTGTTTCCTCCTGTTTGCTGGTTATCACCCACAGCTGCATTGTGTAACTGCCATTTTTTCACGTGCTGTTTTTCAGCCTTGGTCTGGTTTGCATGAGCAGAAACCAACGTTGAATTATCTCGGGCTTGTGCCGTTAATCTGAAGGAAAAATAATTTAATAATTTAAAAAAAAACAGGCATGGGATGTGACAGGAGGGAAAATAGAGCAGCTCCTCAAATGAACCGCTGCTGGCTTCAGAAGTAAGTCCATGTGAATGGACGTCCCTGTGGAGGCGGGGCTAATTATCACTCATTCAATTATGCCAATAAACACTGTCTTTGATCATATTTATATATATTAAATTATGAGGGAAAGTCAAAAAATTGTTAATCTTAATCACGATCTAATGAAGCTTATTTGATTTTCTGTTATGGTTGAACCAAACTGAATAAGCTTCGCAATAGATCTGATCTAGCGCCATCTTATTTCTTACTTCTACCAAAACTGCGAGAGTATTTGAAAGGTGTTCCAGTTCTCCCAACACCTGGTGAGAAAGAAAATTCCCATAATTAAGTAAAGAATTATGGTTTTGTTCTTATTTTTGTTTGTAGTGTTTTTCCCCCAGTGTGTCTTAGAACTTTTTGACCCCCTCTTCCTCATTCTGTCACAGTCCTGTTTCCACCTCAGGATCAACCTGCTGTTATATATATTTTACATTATGTCAAACACAGGATGTGAACATGTCCTGCTGGACAGAGACACTGTCTCCTGTGGTGCAGTTTTAATGCAGTATTTCATGGACAAATGACAGTGATACCACTTTTATTGTCAACTTTTAGAAGATGACTCAGTGATGCTATTTACTGCAGGTGACACAGGTTTCCATGACCCAGTCCAGTCAAACATCTATAATACAACGTTCCTCCACAGAGCAATTAGTGCTATGGTAGAGGAGCAGGCGGCAGACAGAGTTTGTTTTCTGATTAACAGTTTGTTCTACTTAACATACAGTGAGAACACACTGGAAAAACACGGTGATAAACAGTGTGACTGCATGTGAGTCATCAGTGTGACACCACTCTACTGTATGTCCTTCCACTTGTTGGACACTTCCGTCATAGCAGCTCCACATTCATACACACAGAGTATGCAGTACTTTCATAGCACTGGCGCCACTTAAAGGATCGATAATGTGCTACTTTTTTGTAATTATGGTTTCTTGATGTTAGTGACATGCTTTGGTTAAAAAAACCGAAAAAAAATATTAGTGACATGCTTTGGTTAAAAAAACCAAACCAAACAAAAGGACTGATTATAGTTGGATTGTTTAATCATCTGTTTAACAGCTCTGTTCTGAACGCTCAGTTTCCACGCCTTTACCTTTGAATGGTCATGAGCGCTACATGCTACGGCCACGCCTCGCTGTAGTGTAAATATAACTTTGGTCTTGTTTTGATTCATCCATCCATCCATCCATTCATGGATGGATGGATGGTTTTGATTCAAGTTCAGTGAATCACAATGAAATCTATGTTGTTTTTTATACACATAACCTTAACCTTAGACGAGTGTTTCTCAAAGTGTGGGGCACGGTACCACTGGTGGGAAGATAAGACATGACAGGTGGAGCAAATGGTGGGACATTTTCAGGGTTCAAGTGATGATGGCATTACTTGGTGTTAGTTCAATACATTTGAAATGTTATTTGTCAACATTTTTATTGGGGCAGATGGGGCTTGAAGATCCCCACTTAATGAAAGCAGGAATTGACTGAAAAAGTTTGAGAACTTTTATTTAATATTTATTACGTTTAACATTTATTACTTCTCCAAAAAGCTAACACCTGTCAGCCGGAAACCTCATCTTCTCTGTGTGTCAACTGTAGCTTCAGGTCATTTGCCCCACTGATTAAATAAAGTGCTATATACTTTTTATGGGTATAGTTTTATAACACTAAACAAACTATACCTGCAGGGCAAACACCTGACATCAAATCAACATAAGTCCTATTCAGTCTGCACCATTTCATAGATTGATGTATGAATTTAAAAACTGTAAAAAATAAATTGCAACTTCACATCTGTGACAAAGACGAGTCTAAACATCAGCTCTGACCTGCTTCAACCGACTGCCCCGCTGCTAATTTAACTGAAACCCCGGTGTCCACACGCAGACATCCTCCATTGTCTGTGTCTACTTCTTCTTTTCTGATGGTGACACTGCACAAAAGTGCGTCCTGTACAGACATGTGAGAGACGTCCTGTGTGCTCTGCACACTGTCCAGTGTTTACATGGGCCGGTCAAGTTACTCAAACACAAGAGTTTACCTTATTCTCATGGGAGTTAGTGAGAAGTAGCAGTTGTGCTGCAGATGAAAAAGGAAACTCACTCTCTGTTCTCCCTCTGGACAGTGTATGTGTGCAGACAGATTTGGGCCAGACGCAGCAGCGGACGGGCCAAGTTTAAATCACTTTAACAAAGTGGATCACGTAAGCATGAGATTGCTTTAAGTACCAATAAATATGAGAAACGTCATATTTGGAACAGTTTGAGTGGACGTAAACCAGAAGTGTATAATGGATGGATGTGTCCTGCGTTACTTGAGCAACAGCTGATTGTTGTAGTTAAAAAAAAAAAAAAAAAATCACAGTCCAGATAGGTAAAAAGCTGCACACAGCAGCCACAGTGTGTTCAAACGGCAGTACTGCATCACAGAAGCACTAATACCCAAATAACCTCAACGGCAGAAATCAGACCTGAACAGATCAAAAAAGTTAGAATGAAAAAATAAATATATGGTATTGTGGAAAGAGCAACACAAAATATTTTTAAAGATATTTTGGAAAAGCCCTGCACAGAGCAGTTGTTTGAAAGTAACCTCTCTTCTATATCCTCAATAACCCTGCTGGCCATTAGGGGAAAAACCCCGCACTGATTGACTGAACTGATCTTGTGGGTTTAAATTCTGATTCAACCATTGCTTGAAACAATCAAAAAAAGTAACACTAATTTAGTTGTGTTGGCATTCCCCCATTCAATTCAAAAGGTATAAATCCTCCAAAGCAGAAATTCTTAAAAAGTGCCAAAAATTATATAACCATAAATCCATAAATATGACTTTTGTTTGCTCAAACCAAAATCAATTAGCTCATGAAAGATAAAAGTCTTTATAATTAGCAACGGTTGAAACTCATTTTAGATATGACGCACTTACTGAGGGAGGGTTCAATTAGAAAAACACTTCAGAGCCAACATGTGTTGGTGAGGAACAAGAGTCCTTGTATGTTCCTGGAGGGAAAAAAAGGATTCACAGCAGAGCCACTCCGTCACCAGGCTATCACATGAACCACCACATTTTACTGAAGGGAACAACAAAACATTTATTTGTTCATTCAGGAGACTTTTCTACCAGGCCTGTTCAGGGCAGCTGTGAGGAGTGTTGACCTTTCTCCAACACATCTGTGTTCAGACAGCGATCAAAGAGCGGATCGGCTGGAACGGAGCAGCCGCTCACATGCAACACAGTACACAGGCATGGGTTTTACTTATTTATTTTTGTGGTCCAGGTTTGTTTTTGTTTACTTTGACCAAAAGGAAATTACAAAATCCCATCCATGTTGACGGGCGGACGCCTGAAGAACGTGTAAAGTCATAAAACAGATGACATACAGACACGGTCTGCATAAAAAACAGCACAAAGACGGCTCCTCTCACTCCACATCTGAGGGCAGATCAAGTGGCAAAAAAAACCTTGTGGGTTCGCCACCACACTGGATGGTGAATCAACGATCCACCACAAATCAGTCTGTTTACCACCCGGTGACTGTGGCTCTGCTTATGCTTGGATGGTGCTCTTGGCACTGAAGGCCATGTAGTAGACCAGGATACCGATGAGGGCGGCCACCACCTCAGTGGATACCCAAGGGCCGCTCCAGGCTCCCTGTGGTCAGAGGATAAGAGGAGAGGGGCCGGGGGGGGGGCATCAGTAGAGGTTCACCACATGGGGAGTGTTGGGGAACGACAGCAACCTGGCCAAATTCTCTGAGAATACTTACATGTTATCATTGATTTTACAATGCAATTGCAAAATGCAATTCTTTTATTTAGAAAATGGATCTGTTTTCATTTGGTATAACAACTTAAAATAGTTATATTTGAGAATTTACTTTTTTTTTTTAAATGGTTGTGAAATTATCCATCAAAGTCAAGGAAAATATCTGTATAACTGTATATAACAATATTGTACATCAAACCATTAAACATATCTGTTTAAAACATCCCTGAAAAGACTGGACTGTGGTCTGGGGTACAATGACCAAAACGCTGTCGTATGGACTGTTTCCTGAGGTTGAACTAAAACACCAAGATCATGTGGTTGGACATTGAATAACGTGTGTGTGTGTGTGTGTGTGTAAGCGTGTGTCGAGGTTCATTTGAACCCAATGCTCCAAGGCTTTGACCAGGATGTAATGGAGGAATCACAGCAGCCCTGGTGTTACTGATGACGTACTTTCATTCCACAGTGGCGTTGGACTTCTTCCAGCACCATAACCACAAAGGTTAGCGTGAAGTTTACTAATCAAACTTGATGTAAAGCATTTATGGAATGTATGACATTGTGAACAGAGCCGTCAGGACGTTAGATTTATAATATGCCTCCAGATAAATGTTTGGTCCCCTGGTTTGTTCTGTGACCAGCAGTTGAAATCAATGTAAACCAAGAAGACAACAGTATCAACAATCCCACTCCCACTCACGACTGTACATTGAGACAAACATGATAGTCCTATCAAACAGCCCAGTCCAGGCGTCATGGTGGCTCATGTGAGCTGCAAACTCAGCTATTTCATAATAACAAACCACAACTTTTAAGTCAATTAAATTTCAACTATCGTTCCTAAAAGAAGCCAGGGTTTAACATCTAATGTACCACACAGTTTGAGTTTCCACTCAGAAAATGCACCACACAGAGTTTCCACTCAGACACCGACTATATCATCAGAGTCTAACATCTAATATACCACACAGTTTGAGTTTCCACTCAGACACCGACTATATCAACATGAACATCTTACTACTAAAGTTTCTGTACGGAATTCATGTTGATTTACAGTGATAATGGACTAAAATGATACTAAAATGATACACTTACCCTGTGGTCAATATTGACAGAGAAGAGAGGCTGGATGGCGTTTACATCTTCATTGTTTCTCTGAGCCTGGAGAGGAAGAAGGAAGAGAATGAAGATCACAACAGAGTTACATGACTGTTTTTGCTGCACAGGGTCAGTAAAATATCAGCTCTTCTGTTACATGTACAACAAACCTTGCGGAGGGCACTGTAGGACTCCTCATCAAAGAATTTAACCTGGTACGTTCCAGAGCTGGCCTGTTTGTGAGGAAGGCTCCAGGACACCTGCAGGGAGGGGAAGAAAAAAGGCAGTTCAAAAGCTAAATTCTAGATTCTATAGGTAAGACTCCACTGCACTGTTTTTTCAGCACAATTGCTTGTTTTTATATTTTATATTGTTCAGATTGAGCTTAAATAGAGGACTCTACTCTACTTTTAGCACCATTATTTGTAACAGTGGTTGATAATAATGGAAATTTAGGAGAAAATCTCCAGGATACAGACATGAGTAACTTTTGTGGCAGGACTTAAGGCTTTAAATGTATTTGACAAGGTTTAAGTCAAAGTATAAACATGCCAACAGCTGAGCAGAGACAGCCTGATGCTACTTGGAGACATATCCACAAAGAGGAGCCTCAATCAAGACAAAACATTTAAGAGGAAAAGCCTTTACTTACTGAAGTTTTTTGTACAAATGCATGAAATATATATTAAACAAATCCTGCAATGTAATCAAAGTGCCTAAAAGTGAAAAAAAAAACCCACTAGAGCTCAACATGTGCTGAGAGAACATTTTCCATTCACCACATGATGACTGTTGACAACGAGAATGTAAGAAGTATTCAATTTGAACTAATTACAGATTTATATCCATTTACGTTACATCTTCTTAATCATACCTGGTACTTCCCAACATCCTGACCTCTGGTCACAGGGAACTGTCTTCCGTTGACATCAGCATACAAAGTAACACTCTGGAGAAGAGAGAATCGATCAGTGAGTAAACGGTCTCTGTTATGCATTATGTTGTCTGTGCTACAAGGCTGCAGGAGAACCGTTATCACCTACCTGTGCTCCGTTGGCACAGGTCAGACTCAGCTCCACGATAAAGACAGTCTCAGAGGCGATAACAGCATCGGACGTGGTGTAGGCCGACGGAGTGATCACTGGGTCGGTGCAGCTCTCTCCTGACAGCACACACACACACAAACAGTTCACGTTTTTAATCAAAAAAACAACAACGTGGACAGGTTTTTATATGTGTGTCAATGGTTTTCAAGTGAGTGTAAGGGAATGAATGGCTATCTACTACAAGTAGCACTAGCTTAGCTTCGGATAGCATTTCAAACTTCATAAAGATTCCATTTATTGAAGCTGTGTCAGAGAAACTTACCCGAGCAGGCGACCACCAGCAGGGCCAGGAAGGCAGCTATCCGAATCATCATGTTGTCCAAGCGGTTGTCTGGGAGGTTCGTTCACCGTTAAGCACCAGCTACAGCCCCTGTACCGCAGGTTCCAAAGCAAAGGAGGAAAAGAAGTCCACCTCAGCGCAGCGCTAGTATTACACTGCGCCTGCTCAGAAATGACGTGGCCTGTTGTGCCGCGCAGCATACTGGGAAAGTTCACAGTCGACACGTCACCATGAAAGTCAGCGTTGCAAACTAGAAAAAACGGGGGTTATATTTATTTTTTTAATCTAAATTATATTCCATATTTTTTTGTTTTTACTATACGACAATTTACTAACAAAATATTTTAATTATTTATACATTTGATTAAAAATTTAATTTGATAAAATAGCAAACAAATCCTCAAGGTTGGACTTTTGTTACCAGTCATAGGAAATTACATATTTTAAACTTTGTGGCTTAAAAGTAGCCAAAATATAAAAAATTTTATATATAATAAAATATATTGACATTCAAGTTAATTCTTCAAAAATATATTGACATTCAAGTTAATTCTCACCAAATGTTGTTTAAGGAACATACTATTTCAGCCATGATGTAAAGTATCCAACTACTGTTAACATCCATGGAGAATCAAACTATATAAATTAAGCCATTTGTTCACACTTACACTGAAATACAAACACATACACAGCTCTAAACAGCAAAACAAAATGCAATATATTTTAATACTAATGAGAATCAATTGTCTAAAACATTTTCCAGTTTTTCGGCCTATCATTGAAACACCTGAGAGGGGTGGAAGAAAATTAATATTTATTTGGCATTCAGCCTAAATTCAAATTTTCAGACAAATATGTTACTAATAAATATGTACACATTTCTCACAGCTACAGAAGTCACAGTTTTAAACTCTTATTTTTGGAAAGCAGATGAAGAATGTTTGTGTGATTGCATGTAGGTGTGAATGCACTAAACTGGAACTCATCAGTGGAAAACATTTGCTCAAAACGTTCAATCAACACACACACACACACACACACCGATGCAGGAATACATTCATGAAGTTAACTGTACACCGACATTTGCTTGCATTTCAAGTAATCATCAGTTTCCACAATGATATGGAGATCTGCAGTCACAACAGGGATCAGCTACACAAAACCATTAATGAGGAGGCCCCCGAAGCCCCTGAGGAGGGACCACTCGTTGAAAGAAGCCCAGACCAATCGCCGGGCTCTCACCAGTGACTATAGGACAGCTATGTCAGTTTGCTAGAAATAGAAGTGCCAAAAGCTGCTGTCACACCACGTACTTCACTGTTCATTAATGTTATCCTCCCCTGTTTCTTTTCATGTTGTTTACCAATGCCCCTCAGTCCAGTGAATCTACTGCTTTAAAAAGCCCCCAGTCCTCCCCCCACGTCCATCTTTTTTCCCTTTCTTCTGGGCAGCTTGACCAGAGGAAGACGAGGCGGCGGAGGAGGAGGAAGGATCCTGCAGGGCCTGACGCGAGAGGAGCTCCTTGAAGACCGAATCCATCTGTCGACAGACCTCCTGTGAGACGACAGTAACAATCGTGATGAGAGAGAGACATAAAGATGTCCACTCTGTGTTCATGGACTTCTAAGGTTTGTAACAAGATGTCCAGTGTACCCTCATCATGTCTTTGTTATTAGTTAATAAAATAAAATAATGTCACATCAAGTGTTGACTTTTTGACATTTCACAAGAAAAGATATTTGAAAGAATCTTTGATCTTATATCTGGCGTGTCCAAAGTCTGGCCCTGGAGCCAAACGTGGCACTTTGACTGGTTTTACTTCCCTAGTTGATTATTTTAATGGTCTGCCTTCAGCAGTGTTCTGGGGAAGTTTTGGGGAAGTTTGGACCAACCCTGCAATTTGGTCATTTGTGCTGTGTGTTATTTTTTAAACTACTGTTATAGTTTTAAGCAACTTTTGTCTATTCTTACAGTAGCAAGAGTAGACAAACCCCTGATGTACTGGTGAGGGTGGAATAGCTAACAGTTCATTAACACCAAAGACGACACAGGTTATTTTGAGCGGACAAACCTTGTCTACTTTAACTCCAATATCCTCTGAAGACGAGTGCTCCTGGTAACTGCATCACAAAAATAACATTAAAATACATACTGTAAGTGAAAAAAACAAATAAATAAACAGATGAGTAAAAATCAGAGGTGCGTCCTTCCACCCGTCTTAACACTCACTGTTTATGTGCCATGAATGGAGAGTTGACCCTCTTCTTACACTGTTGCCCGACAGGAATCTGAAGCATAAATTTCCCTCCTGAGACAATACCGCCCCCTAATGGTCCACTTAACCTGTTCTTTTCTACGGAGCTGCTGCTGTTGGTCCTGGGACGCTCATACCTCTTCTGTCCGCTGCTGGTGTCAGATGATGCCAACGTTTCCATTTCTGTAGCGCAACACAAAGAAGTTCTTATTTTGTTTATAGTCTTCAACAAAGCCTGAGGGTCCGTGCTGAGGGGACGAGGCCGCACAAACGTACCATCTTTACTATGACTGTTCTCTGGTTCGAGCTCTCCCTCAATAATAGACTCACTGTTGAGAAAACACCCACAGATAATCACACCCCGCCACACAGTGTGTCCATTTACACCATGAGCTTTTTCATGAGACTGTTTTGAATGTTCCTACCAGTCATCCAGTTCTAGTGTCATGCATTTCTCATACACCGGTCCCTGAACTTCATTCTGACTGGGGAAGATGCTCTCATGCTGCAGGATGATGCTCTTGATCACGGCGTTGATGACAGGCTGCAGCGACACCTCGTCATCACCTTCAGCTCCTCTGACCAGGCTGGGACCGAAACACACAGCCAGGTTGTAAGGCTGCATCATGTTCTCGTCACTGTACTGTGACACACTGCAAGTACAGAGAGACAAATGAAAAGTGTCCGGTCGAGGAGCTGAGACGTCAAACGTCAACAACCTCGCCAATAAAAATCAGGTCGATACTGAACAAATATCCAAACATTAAATTAGCTTTACGTGCTTTGAAGGGCATTTTCTCTACAATCAACTTCTTATAACCAATATTAACCTGTTAAACTAAAAACATTCTTATTTTTATTCAGGATATTGCATTTTAAGGGCCATTGTAATGTCCTGATGAATGCATTATTTTCTCATGTTTTTATTATACATCTTTATATACCGGTAAAACTGTAATTCTTTTTTGTTTTCTTTAGCCTTGTCTGTACCCGATATGCTAATTAATTCACTTTTCTGAAAAAAAAGAGAGAGAAAGAAAAATCAACCAGATGGCAAAATACATTTTCCTTCCTCTTTCTGAAAAAGAAACGCTCCAGTTCCTTTAAATTGTCACCTTCTGGTTATTTTAGTTATTGGCAGCAACAGCTGCAAAAAATACAACTTACTGGTGGAGGAAAGCAAAGAGGTATCTCATGACAACGATTATGGGCTCTGGATATGAAGCAATGAGTGTTTTGAGCTGAGCCGCTCTCTCTGCCTCATTCTTGATATCTGGTGCAGGAAGAGGAGATAGAACATCAACGATTCAAGGAAACACTGTTGCCGAGCAACGCTCAAACATTTCAACACCGTCAAAGACGTGTTTTATTTTATGAACAGATAACACCCCGACTCACGAGCATGCTCCAGGAGTTGGTTAGTGCTGTCAATGGGGAAGAGGGGATTCTCCAGACTTCTGAAGTAGAGCTTGAGGACCCCAGCCACAGAGTCCAAGTCGTAGTTCTGCTCAGCCAGAGGGTCTTCTCCTGTAGGCAAACCCACGGCACGCTGTCTCATGTTATTCATGTTCCACAGGGATGGGAACTACTCTGTAAGAGCCGTCCTTCCAGACCTACCTTGCTCAAAAGCATCTCTCAGGTTGTTGACCTCCGCTTGTGACCCAGGTACTCGGAATATCCCCTCATGGTGGAGACCTGCAGCACAGGCGGGAGGACAAGTTATTCCAGGGCAGTGGACGGGACAATTTTTGTAATTTCCTTTTCACTGGTTTGTCAACACTCACCGTTCAGGTTAATGAAGCAGATACAGCTTTCCACGACAATTGGAATCTGTTGTCCAGATGCCTGAGGACAATATTAAGAACAAAGTCTGATACGTGCAGTTTTTTTGCCCTGCAGGTCAACTCTAAAGGTCAGAAATGTCTGGGAGACAAGCTGCACGGTGCTGTGTGGTCAGTCGTCACCTGTATGAAGGACAACATGTCTCCGTTGAAAAGTTTCTGGTTGTGAATCAAATGGGTCCTGGAGCAATTCTTCCTGCGCAGCGTGTTTTTATTCTGTCTGCAACAGGTCACATGATCACAGTAAAGAATGAACACTCATTCTAAGAAGCTTCAGAACATTTGATCAAACAAAACAAAGTAAAATCTTAGCCAGGTGGAGAAGAGGAGGAGACATTTTGGGTTTTTTTTACAGTTTTTCTCCGTCCACTTACATGTGGTTTGTGAAAAGTTGGACACATTTAGAAAAAGATTCCTGCAACAAATTGCTACAGAAGCACAGTCTGGCTGCTAAGAAAATGCAACTAACTATCTGTGAAGTTTCTCAGTCCTGTGGTAGCAGGGAACAGGATTGAGAAATACGATCTGGTAAAAAAAAAAAAAAAAAGCTGAAAAAAAATAAGAGAGCTGAAACGCTCTTGTTTTTTAAATGAACGTGCTTCATTTAACACAACATTTCCCTGGCAAGGATGAAATGAACTTTGAACTCTCACTGTCTTGACAACAATCATTTAGAGACTCTTCAAACATGTTCTCTGAGCCTGTAAGAAGCTGAGGGCAAGACAGCAGATACACCATCATGGTGTTTAGGCGAGAATTGAAGACTGGTTAGTGAAGTGTTTGGGGTCAACAGTCTCTAAAGTGCTTCTAAGATATTAAAGTATGTGAGGTCTTTTACGGAGAACCAAAGGAGAAAGAAATACATTTGTTTTAAAGTAAACATAAAATATTTATCTTCTACCTAGGATGATGTGCATTTGCAGAGCCACCTGTAGGAAAGAAAAGAGATTTCTGATTAACCAAAGCAGAAACAACCAGTGAGAAACACATTAATGTCAGATATTTGTGTCATAAGTAGAAAAAAATAAAAGCAAACAGAAACAAGGAAGAGTCAAGAGGACGATACAGTGAAAAACACAATGGACAAATGAGACACTGGTCAGCAATTTGGACTGAAATGCAGAAGTGAACCTTTTTCCACAGCCGTTTTGAGCAGGTCATGTTTGGCCTGGAGTTTAGATACAAAGGAACTAGCGACGAGGTAGTCTTTAACTCTCTGTTAAGAGAAAGAGAAACAAAAGAAAAAGACTTTGTAGACATCGTTTCATGTCACCGTGACTCACAGCATTTCTTAACAGTTCGACTTTGTTCTTAGTTCGGTAGATGAAAAAGCTCAAACTCACAATGAAATAGGTGTTTTCGATGTCCTGCTGGTTGTTCCTGCGGCTGACCACACTGGGCCTCACCGTCAGGTTTTCAGTGCTGCCGTCCTGAGAGGAGCTGTCGCTGCTGCTGGGCTCCAGGTCATCGTCACTGATGCTCTCCAGCAGAGAAGACTGGGCCCCCAACATGCCCTTATTGGCCTGTGGTGCAGATAAAAACATGATATACTACTTTATTAAGATAAACAGGTGGAGCACCGTGTGGACACATGTAAATAATGTCAACATTGGCCTTTAGCCTGTTGATAAATGCTCATTTTAGCAAAAGTCAAACAGAAGTAATTTAATGAAAGTATTAATTCAACATGTAGCTCTGACATAAGACAAGATTGAACAATTTCCATCCAACAGTGCACAAAATATCATTACAAATGCAATGCAGAGCATGCCTGGTGTCTTGAGAAAACAGTGTTTGTGTTGCATCACATCACAGTTTAAAAAAATGTTTTTCAAGGTTTGACATGGATTTGAGAGGTTTGTAGAAGCCGAATCTGTGTGTCTTCATTTTACTGATTATTATTATCATTATTATTTTAACAAGACAGAACACTGTGGTCGTGGTCGTGGTTGTTGTGGTGTGTTGTGGTGTCCATGTCCAGTACTGCACCTCCTCTGTTTCCAGTGTCGCCGACATCAGTCTGGTCTGTATCTGTTTGAGCCTGATGTCCATCTCACATCCCATCTCACCCTCAGCACTGACCTCACAGACCTACGAAGAAGAAGAAGGAAGGACACGTGTGTGTGAGCAGCTATTAAAGATGGCTACCATGGCAGCATTCGTAACCAGGCGAGTGCATCAGGAGACAAATTAATTAGAGAACAAAGTCCCACACAAAATAAAAATAACTGTAGCAGAAACACACACACAGTATGAAGTCAGACAGGGAAATGGAGAATATATGTGAGGGTTACATAAAACCCTTGATTTCATAACAGTGGAGACTGAGTTCAGTGTCTAAATCCTCACACTGACCACTCTACTAAATAGAAACAATACATTCATAGGAAGAGTAAAATAAAAACTAAAGAATTATACCTAATACTGTATACTTAACAAATATAAAATGTAAGGACAGGAATGTTTTATTTTGAAAGCTGTAGGATTTTGTCACTTTTTAGAAGATGTCTAGGTATAAATATGAAGAAATTCCCTTGCACAGTAGACTGCAAAAAAAATAGTTTTTTTTTCTAATAAATGTGGTATATTAGTGTGAGTTCTTCACACTAGAAAGAAAGATTTAGATATGATATATCTGCAACAGAGACTTTTTTTATTCTAATGACCAGAACCAACATGAAATTATAACTTAAAAAAGTAAACATAAACCTTTAATTCTGGGTCAGACTGAGCTACAGAGGTGAGAGCTGCAACTTAAGAAACAGGACAAAAGGAAAGGAAATGAAAGTGAACTACTTGTCACTGTGACACAGCACTTCACTGCACACAACCAAATGTGACCTCTGTTTTTAACCCATCACCACAGTGAACAGTGAACAGTGAACAGTGAACAGTGAACAGTGAACAGTGTGTGTGGTGACGGTGCCGTGCTCAGAGCACCTCAGTGGTAACTTGGCAGCTGGTTGATTCAAACCTGAAACCTTCCAAACCCAAGTCCGCTTCTTTAGCCACTAAGCCACCACTGCCCCAAACTGGACTAAGAGTGTTTTTATTACCCATGAACACACACCTGGTCTCCATCGTGGGGCTGATAGGTGAAGCGGAGTGGCATAGAGAAGGTGGCGTAGTTGTCCTGCAGGAAGGTATCTCGGTCCTGGATCTGGTCCAGTTCTGACACGGCTCCTTTCAGCTGCTGCAGCCCGGTGCCCAGGTTCTCCTGAGCCCTCCACCGTCTGGACAGGTAGGCCTTTATCACTCGGCCTAACGACAGATGGTAGCCCACGTCTGCACACTGGGACAAAGAGACGAGCAGCCAATCAGTGCAGCTGATCAGAGTAAATGCTAAATGATTTGTTTTAACTGGTATGTGTTTTGGTTTCTTTGGTCGTCTGTCACAGCCTGTGGGGTGTCAACCTTCTTTAACCCTGAAAGGATACATTTGGAAACAAAGTCACAGAAAAGCAGTGCAGCTGTGTCAACCAGGCAAAAAGAAACTGCTGCGTCCCTGCCCTGGAAGTGATTCACTGTTTCAACAGGGCTCCACTATGTCACAACATCTACTTCTTAGCAGGGTTTCACATATTTTCCTTCCTGCAAAGTTGGACTGTTGCTTAAAATTACATGGAATTGAGTTGTTAAATTACGACACCATGTATATATATTCATATTATAATAAAAATGCATAATATTGCATCTTTCTCTGTATCCTAGTTTCTATGTAGCACATGCAACACTGATGCACTCATTCCAGCCCAATAGGTGGCGATAATGCACCTAAATTCATTTTCCAGCTTTAAAGAAGATGCGAGAGATTGCATGACATCAGAGCATAAGCCAAGGTGAGTGCAGGAACTGGCTAGAACTGCATCAATTGCACAACACTGTTTTTTTTTTTTGTTTGTTTTTTTTACTAGTGCAGTAGTTCAGGTCTGAACTATCACCTCACTGCAAATCATGTTGCTGCAAGCAATGAAGCCCAGAGCTAGGTTGGCTACGACAGTGTAGAAGCAGGCAGTAAAGTCAGTCCACATTAGATAAATGAGTTAAAATGTAATAAAAATGTAATGTGAGTTTCTATTTAGTAATTTAGCATCGATATAGATGAGAAACAAACATTTGGTTGTTTAGGTTCATCTATATGTCAATTTATAAATAAAGTCATTATCCAAAAATATTCTAGAAAATATATATGTTGCTTTTGTGTTTTTTATTGGCAAATTAAAAATGCTATTTAATTACAAAAAAAAAACATGATTATTTTTTCCTGAAAACTGTCCAACCCTGAGTATTTATATGGATATATCAGGATTCCCAAACAGGGACCTTAGGGGTTTTAGGGCTTATATCCGGAGGATCGCTGCTGCTTCCACGGCCAGAACCTGTGGTCAGCTGAACTCGCACCAAAACATGTGTTTGTTCTGGAGGCACCGAGGCCTGGACTTACGTCAATGAGAGAAGAAACATGTGTTTGTTCTGGAGGCACCAGGGCCTGGACTTACGTCAATGAGAGAAGAGATGTCTTGGAAGTAGTACTTATTCATGGAGGCGTTGGCAGCAGTCAGGTTGATGAGGTAGTCGTTTCGGGCTTTGCTGCACTTCAGGTGAGTCTCCCGAACCTTATTCTGTCTCTGCATCGTGAAGAATGTCCGACTTCAGAGCGTTGAAAATGAAAACGTGCATACAAATCCCTGTACTCTCTGTGTTTCCACTTACTTTTTCTATCAACCTTTCCAGCTTCTTCGCACTCTGTTTCTGCTTTTCCTCCTGTTTCTCAGCGTCCTTCAGTTTCCCCTCTGCAGATACGTACTCTGTGTGGTACTGGTAGTAGGTGCGCCATGCCTGCACGCACACACACACACACACACACACAAACACACACTTGCTTTCATCACTTTTTTAGGAAACTTGAATACCGTTTGGGGAGGTTGTTTTGTCACTCACAGTTTGGAGCTCTGTGGTAACCTTGAGTAAACCGTCCTGTAGCTGCAAACAGACCTCTTTACTCTGGAAACATGGTGTCAAGACGACAAACAGGAAGTGAGAAGGAGGAAAACTAGTTTTGATCTTAAGAGTACAAGGATGAATGTGGAGAAAAGACGTACTGTATTTTCCGGACTATAAGTCACACTTTTTTTTTTCATCCTTTGACTTGGTTTGCGACTTGTATATTAAAATATATAATTTCACCCTGACAGCAGCTAGAGGGCACTCCAGGCTTCAGTACCTGTATTAGCTACTCCTGTACCACTGAAAATTCACGTTTGTTATTTTTACACCAACAGCCGCTAGAGGGCGCTGGTGCGACTTAAAGTCTGGAAAATACAGTATTTTTCTAGCATTTTACCAAGACTAACATCAGTATCTTTAAAACATGTTGAATGAGTGTAGAACCATGGGTCGGGTCAGTACCTTCTTGGCAAATCGTTGTGTGTATTCCAGACAGTGTGTGAGTGGCTGGATTAGGAGGTTACTGCAGCTCTCGCTCAGTCTACTATGGTCTTTGCTTTCCTGGCGGGTCTGAGAAAGCAGAGCCAACCAGACCTTTGACACCGAATGACTGCTGGGCTCCTTCCTGAACACAAGGAGTTTCACATCTGTCAGCTAAACCTTTCTTTGCAAGACAATAATGTCAGCGACTGAGAAATGTGCCTTTGTCCACCTCTTTATTCTGGATGTAAACTTTTCAGCAAGTTTCTCCAGGGAGCGCGCGTACTCGCTCTCTATCTCCCCCCGCCGTCGCAGATAATCGGTCAAGTCCTGCAGCTGCTGGCTCTTCTGCTCGAGCTGCAAGTCTAGCATCTTCAGCTGATCTGTAAGCTGGCATCGCACCTCTAGAAGATGGAAACAGAGCGAGGACAAGTGTGAGACAAATGACTGTGGCTTATTTTGAAACCCCCCCCCACCCTCTAAAATCTCCTCTTGTTGACAAGTAAAAGGTGTTGAAGAGGGCGGAGCTGTGGCAGTGACTCGTGTTTACGGGGTAACAGATACTGATTTTTGTAAAAGAGGAAGACGACTTATATTCACCTACAAATATAAACTGTATATAGACTGTAGTTCGTGCTTCAGGATATCATTTAAATAATCGCAGAGTTCGATCGAAGTAGACATTTTTAAAACTTATTTAAAATTATTATTTTTATTCATTATTTTCCACCCCATAGAAGGAAAACAAGTTTTTTTTGTTTGTAAAAAATGCAAGCTACAATTCCTGTTCTGTAGGTTAACGATCTTTTTCATTTGTTTTCTGCTGTGGCGTGTGTATTTAGAACAATCTGGCGATACGATACGTATCACGATACAATGGAAACAATACAATATATTGCGATACTATAGGAATGACAATATATTGAATTGTTTTTAACAATTTAACTATAGGAAAACAGTAAGTAGTACTAACAGTATAGTTAACGCACAAAGCTGTTACATGTGTAACACCAGGTTACTGCAATTGAAAAAAAGGATCTACATTTGTCATCACCAGACAAGAAATAAATGCAAAATAAAATGAACCAACGCCATGAATATTTACAGGCCTATTTGCAATATTTTTTACCTTTGATTTGTGTGTCGTAGTCCACACCAACTCTATCCTTTCGTAGTTTCGCATGAGAGGCCATCGTTGTTCCAACTGGATGAAATTCTGTTTTTAAAAAGAAGTTTTCACATCTCATCACCAGTTACCATGACAATATACAGTAGCTGCCATTCCACTTGCTCATCTTTTAATCACACACACACACTTGTCATGTTTGTTTTTCCTCTACAGGACAGACTGTAGTAAAGGCCATTATGATCAACTCCTGCAGCCCTGCACGGCCACACTTTTACACTTTGAGAGCTGACACCCTCACCCAGACACACACTCTGCTAACTTCCTCCTGCTGAGACAAACAGCCCATAAAGAAATGAAAGGAGTGGGTTTATCTTACTGTAACACGTCTCTACAAACCGGTCACTCTCTGCCGTG